TGCGTTCCTGCCCAAAAATAGCCCTGCTAAAAACCATGTTAATGACAGTTGTGGGTTAGGGTGTTCCTCTTGCTTGGACTCTTAACAGATTATCAGATCGGTTCTCCCAAGGGCTGTTAGGACTTATTTTCACCTAGCTCTCCAATTTGTTTTGTTGTGGTTGGAACACACAAGCCCACGACTTTTTGACTGTAGTGTAAAGTGATTACTTGCATGTTTCAATGATTCCACTCTTTTGCTTTCCACATAAATTGGGTTACTTAATTTCTGAACTACTGCCAGTAGAAAAATCCTAATTGCATTTTCTTTTCTCCCTCTCTCCTGCGCAGCGGTGATTGATGTTCCCAGTTCAAAGGAAGTCATGTGTACTCTTCATACAGTTTCTAAAGACTGGGCCTTTAACAAGACCGAGGACTTCTTCACCAGAGTTTTGAAGCGGTAGGTGATGCTACATCAAATAGCCAGAGGCGAACAGCACCACCCACTGTTACTCCTTGGGGGCTCTGCAACCTCAGGATAGAACCCCTCAGGTTTGCACAAAAATCTTAAGTACATAAAAATTAACCCTTGCAAGTAAATGCTGATGTCAGGGCTGATATTGGAAAAACTAAGCCACTGAACAAAGTTTGAGTCCAGTGGCACCTTTAAGACCAACAAAGTTTAATTCCAGGTGTAAGCTTTCATGTATCTGATGAAGTGTGCATACACACGAAAGCTTATACGCAGAATTAAAGTTCGCTGGTCTTAAAGGTGCCACTGGACTCAAACTTTGTTCTATTGCTTCAGACCAACATGGCTACCCACCTGAATCGAAGCCACTGAAGTTTGAGTGGTATTTTGGGTTGCTATGGTCAATAAGTAGGAGAGGGTGGTAGAGGCAGTCAGCACTGGAGGCTCAGTGATGGGACTGGGACCTGGAACTAACGAGGGTGAAAATTTCCCCTCCTACGCAAGTGATCACAGGTACCTTCTTATTTCTTGTTAATACTAGAATGCAGATTTCCTGTTAAAGGGAAGCTTTATAATACTGAGGATTAATGAACCAGCCTTGTGTTGTCCTAAACACTGTAATACTGCTACTACCCTTGCATTGGGGAAGAGTAGTTCACAGGAGACTTTATTTAAAGGAAGATAACTGCCCTTTCGATAAGGAGTATGCATTTAGCTAGTCTGATATTCATTGGAAAGAGGTATCTCTCTTTACTGAATAAAATCACATTGCATGTTGACAAGTATATATAGCCTTGTAAGAGGGAAATCAAAATAAGTTGTTGCAGTGCAGGTTCAATCACTGGGGCAATGCTTAAGATCCTCAAAACAAAGGCTGGCCACAGAATTCCAGGGCCCTTGAGTCTGGGGAGCTCCATTGTAGCTCCCTTCTTCCCCTGAGTCTTACAGTCACAGCCCTAACTGACCCACCCACTCCAAGAGCAGCTACACTGGAGGAAATGGAATGCGACTTCCTCACCATCTTTTTAGCACCATCACAACTGAGTGGACCTAAGTTAAAGCAAAGTTTCAAAGGCTTTCGGGGCAGCAGCTCAATGGTAGAGCATCTGCCAGAAGGTCCCAGGTTTAATCCCTGGTTTCTCAAGTTAAAGGGATCAGGTAGAAGGTGATGTGCAAGACCTCAGCCTGAGACCCTGGAGAGCTCCTGCTGGTCTGAGCAGATAGTACTGACCTTGAGGGACCAACGGCCTTCATGTGTTCAGCTGTGACAGATGCCCGGAAGAGGTAGTGAAGAGTAATTACCTTGCACTTTGCTTCCCTTGAGAACTGGGAAATCAAGACAGCATCCCCAGTCAGGGTGAGCACACTGCCAGGCGGAACCTTGGCAGGTGTCTGATTGTGCCAACCCCTGAAGCCCATCCTGCCCAAAACTTGGTTCTCTCGTCTCTCACTTTTCCATGGGCCTGTGAAAGGCTACACCTGTCCTCCGCTTAGGCTATAATGGGATTGATATGGACAAATGGCTTAAACTTTCATCAGTCTGGAAATAAGGGGGGGGTAGTGTTTCTGGGCTTTAACGCCTCTGGAAGCTTCTCAGCTAGGACACGCAGAATGTTGGTGGCAAGTGCCCTAGTGTCACAGCTGACTTATGGAGACCCTGTAGGGTTTTTAAGACGAGAGACATTCAGGAGTGGTTTGCCGTTGCCTGCCTCTGCATAGTAACCAAGACTCCCTTAGTGGTCTCCTATCCAAATACTAACCAGGGCCCAGACCTGATTGGCTTCCAAGATCTAATGAGATCAAGATAGACTGGCCATCCAGAATACCTGCACTAATAGACAGCACAACCCATCTCTACCTGGGACAACATTTTAAGGCTCTTATTTATATCCTACCTTGAATTCCTTTTGATAAAAGCATGGGCTGTAAATGGTTAGGATAATGGAAAATACCACAGGGACCTCATTGCCTTTCCCCCTGAAAAATAAGGTGGCCCATTAATGGACAGCCAAGTAGAACCTGGTCACAAGCAGTGTTCCCTCTAAGCTGAGTTAGTGTGAGCTAGCTCACAGTTTTTTAGCCTCTGGCTCACACATTTCTGTTTTAGCTCAGGAAGGATGGCTCCAGAGCAGACTAATTTATGCAGTAGCCATTGCTCACTCACCACTTTAACGCCAGTAGCTCACAAAGTAGAATTTTTGCTCACAAGACCCCACAGCTTAGAGGGAACATTGGTCACAAGCCAATGAATGGAACAGAATTGTTCATTCTTCTCACTCCTCCCCACCTTCTTCCTGTTTATGGAATGGCTAGCCATTTAATGGAGGCTCAGTGGGGGGAGCCAGATAGCAGTGGCATGATGGGAAAGGTCCACTGCAGAATAGGCACCATAGCTTGGGCCAATTTGGGGACGGTAGCAAACATTGCATTGTTCTATAAATAAGCCAGCAGGTCATCCGTGGGACAACCAGGATGTACTGATGTCTTAGGATTGTTTTGACCCTTCCTTTTCAGGTGCATGTCTGTCCCTATTCTTATGAGATCAATTTTCAAGGCGGCTGCCAAGCAAAAGCCTGATGAGGCTGTGCAAAGCATGGAAGAAATGTCTGAGCAAAGCCCACAGGAGGCCTCCGAGTCGGAAGCCACAGAAGATAGCGGAGCCAGCTTGCAAAATGCGGGGATGGCTTGGGAAAGTAGGAGCCCCGACATTGCAGAAAGCCTCCCTGAGTCGAGCAGCCAAGCTTCACTGAGTGACACCACGGAGGAAGATACGGTGCTTTCCACGGTCACAGATCCAGAGGAAAATCCCACTTCTGCGGAGCCGTCGGATGACATGACAGAAGCAAACACTTCCTTGAGTAGCCTGCCAGTGCTCTCTGGTGAGCTGGAAGAGCTTCTGCTTTTCACTAGCGAGGATATCTCAGGATTCATGTTGGATGAAGGCATCACAGATGAGCCATGGACTCCACTCAACATCCCAGAAGAAATCTAAAGGAGATGCTAGTGAGAAGTCCTAGCATCTTTAGGCCTAATTTTTATCCTCGAATACTCGGTGGTGCTTAAAATTACAATAAAGGGTTTCATTTTTCTTCACAGGAAATCTTGGGTTAATTTCGTACCTCAGCAAACATTCTGCAGGGCAGAAGAAATCCTATTCTCCCCTCACCCCTGCTGCTGCTGCCAATGCTCCCTCTGAGCTGTGGAGACTTGTGAGCAAAAATTCAGCTTTGTGAGCTAGTGCCGTTAAAGTGGTGAACGAGCAATTTGGCTACTGCACGTTTTGCTCTGGAGCCATCCTTCCTGAGCTAAGACAGAAATGTGTGAGCCGGAGGCTAAAAAACTGTGAGCTAGCCTAGCTCACACTAACTCAGCTTAGAGGGAACACTGGCTGCCGCCACCCCTGCTGGCTCATCTTTCCTCGCCCACTTTGGCCCCTGCTGGCTGGCTTCAGCTCTCACTGCCTTCCTCTCCACTTTCCCCCTTCCTGCTCGCACCACTTCCTTTCCTTCTCCCCACCTCAACACCCCCTTCCTTTCCTTTCCCCATCTCTCTGCTCCTGTTTCCCCCCCACACTCACCTCCCAGTTGTATCCATGGCCAAGATCATCTTGGGCCCATTTTCTTTTCACAGCATCTGCATGCACAGATATTGCCACTACTGTTTGGGGAGGGAGTTTACTCTTTTTTAATTTGGGGGGAGATAAACAGTCCCCCCCCCCGATCCAAGTACACTTTGTTCACAGTAGAGATGGTAGGCAGGAGTAACTGTCAAAATATGGTGCTTTACCAAGGTACGGCAAGATGGAGAAGGTTATCTGTACTTGTGCAGCTAAAGCTTTTATTGAGCTCTACAAAATTTTGAAGTGTTAATGTATCGGTTAAAAAGGAAGCTGGCTTTTGTAGAGTCCAATCCAGTTACCTGTTTGGACTGCAGTAGCTGTCCATGGTTTTAAGTATTTCCCCCGTTACCTGAGGTCCAAGATGCATCCAAAGCAAAAGATGGAAGCTTATCTGTAGAAGCCAATATTAACATTCTAGAATCTTGCCACAATAGCAGTGTAAACCAAGCTTCTTAACTGGATCATGAACCAATAGCTTTGTCTGAGGGCTCCAGTCAGATATATACATATATTCTCCCCAAGTCAGGTAACAAGAATTTCTCAACTAGTTAGAAGAGTTGGATTTATACCGCACCCTTCACTTACTATCTCCTTCCCTTCCTCTCCCTATCACAGACACCCTGTGAGGTGGGTGGGGCTGAGAGAGCTGCTCTTGAGAGAATAGCTCTGAGAGAATTGTGACTGACCCAAGGCCACACAGCTGGCTGCATGCAGAGGAGTAGGCAATCAAGCCCAATTCTCCAGATTAGAGTCCGTGCTCCTAACCACTACACTGAACTGGATCAATTAGGAATGATTCCATGGTCGACTTTTTTGGCTAGAGTCATATAAGCAATATAGTGTTTTATAGTGTTTTAAAGTACAGAAGACTGCATCTTTTGTCTAAATGCTACATGAACATGCACCAAAGCATGGATGTGCAGCAAAAAAATGTTCACAAGTTTTTCAACTGACTAAATACTGCAGCCTTAAAACGGTTCTTCAGAGAATGAGCAACAAAAAATTCACCACAGGTGCCGGTTTGCCTTGTTCTATCTATGCCAGGATCATGAGTGATCTTGTCTTCCCTGCCTTATGCCTCCCCTTCCCTAGTGTCTGCCCTTTGGCTAACTTGAAATTTATGAATACATGGACACACTTTCCATCTCCTGTCTTGTTCAAATACTACAGACCTTTATTCTGGAAAATTATAGACACTTTGCCTGACCCTAAACGTGGCAAAAAAACCCGTCCTACTTTGTTCAATAAAGCTTAGTTCTAGCTGGAGGTGCAGAGCCTTAGTGGTCTGGCGTTTGCTCAAACACAATGGGAATTATGCTGACAGTGGAGAGTATAAATGTTGTTCCCTAAGCAGATATAACTCTGACCTGCAAAAGGCACTAAAATCATGCAAGAGTCAAGACCAAAGGTTTTCTATTGTATAAAGGCTCAATGTATGCGATGGTTATTGCAACCATATTTGTTTTCAGAAATCCCGCACAACTTGGAATGTATCCATCTCTGGGCTTAGGAGTTCAGAAGTCGCTTCTGTAACAGATTGCACTTTATTCTCCATAAATTAACTTTGCAATTCCTAGATGTGGTCCAGAGGGCTTGGAGACAAGCCTAATTGCTCCATTAAACTGACAGTTCTTTCTTTCAGCCAAGGAAGGCTTGGCCTCACAGAAGCTGCGTGTCCTTTCGATCTCTGACAACATTCGCTTTGGAAAGAAGCAGTCCCACTACTTGTGCAACGAGGTCCACAAAACTGTGTGCCGTTTTCACCTGTTTGTTGTTCTCTAGCTCCATTCGGCTGGTCCTCTGGTGAATGTACATAACCAAGGTCCATGTCCTCAACTGTATCCAGTAAGTCTGTAAGAGAGGGTTGTGGGTGGGTACAGTTAAGATCCTTAATCGTATCCTCTTCGTATTTTTTAATTTCATTCAGCAAATCAGTAACTCTGTTCAGCACTGCAGAATCGCATCGGTTGTTGTGACACCAAGACAAAAGAGCACTAAAAAAGAGTGTTAAAATGTGGAAAGTTGAGACCAGGCACAAAATTAAACACATACCGCATCATGGACTCTCCTGGAAAGGGTACCTTTGAGTACAAAAAAAATCTATTGCATCCTTCTAGCAGATGCCGGATTCCTCAGTGCAGGCTCCCGGCCTGCACAGCTTTTCTCTGTGTGAATCTGACAATCTCAGCAAGCCTTTGCAGGGACCAAAAGGGCCCCCCCTCCCCTTCTCACCAGCAGAAAAGCTGACGGCATCCAATGTATTTTAACAATTCAGGATGGAAGTGGGCTTGCATTAGTGGTGGGATCCCCCTTATCCCAGCTCCAGAAAAGATACAGGCTTTTTCCAGGGTGGCCACCTTAAAAGATGTATCCCAGGCTTTCAAAATCTCGGGGAGGAAGAAGTAGGCTGGTGCTTTCAGCTGGGCTGCAGCCTGAAACCTCTATGAAGTGGAAGAACTGTCTTCACCATAATCCAGTCCTCTACCTCCTTAAGTTCAATGAGGCATAGGAGTGGCTGGGGAGAGACAGCTATAACCAGCACAGAGACCGAAGTACTCCTGATTTAAATAACCATTAATAATGACAGCCATACTGGTTCAGTAGCCTGTGGAGGCTTGTCCTAAACCTAAGAATTTTTTTGATGAGATCTGTCCATTAAAAAAAATATATACGCTTTAGAACTTACCTTACATTCCCTTTGAGTTGACCACAGGAGAACATAACCTTTACTGCTTCTTCATACCCTTGATTAAAACCCTGCTGAAGCGTCAGTTCTTTCCCGGCTTCAACTCCTTCCCTATAGCCTTCCTTAAAGCCAAAGGAATAGCAACGTCAAGTACAAGGAACAGTTTAAGAGCTAAAAAGCAAATATTGCTCATCAACATCTGATTGCCTTATTTAAATTAATGAAACATCTAGGATGTGTATTGTCAAAAACGGTTGTATACAGCTGTTGTGCCAATAAGGTAGATGTTAAAAAGAAAATCTACCTTTGTCACGAAAAAGTGCATATGCATTACATTAGGTGACAGTCAGCAACCTATGAAGTGTATCACCCAGATCTTTCCGACTGAACGGGCTAACAACTAACTGAACAGAGGTTAGTAAATTAAAAACGAGGATAATAGTATAACAGCTATACTTACTTTGACTCGTTTCTCCATGGTGCTTTTCCATTCTTTCTGTGCTATGCCCATCTCATCTGCATCTTCATCAAACACATCGTCATTGGGCTGGCTCACAGCTGACCGCACCCAGGACATTTTGTCTGCGCGATCTACACTGAGTTTTTAAGAAAGCATCACAGAAACTCCAAGCAACCAGAAGGAAGCCTGCAGCAAAGGAACACTGATTTAAATAAAATATCTTCAGCAAGAGCAGGTGCAGACGATTCACACTGATCACCAACTGAGCGTAGCATCACGGTTGCCTGCAGAAATAAGTTAAAAAGTGCCAGTTTACTAATGTAATAAAATTGCAGTTGTGAAATGCTGATTTTTTTTCAGAGTCTAAATTCAACAAGCTTTCTGTCCTCAAGGTACTTTAAATGTATGCGAAAAGCATGTTCAAAAGTTATTGCTAATTGGATCCCGTGAGTGTACATCTGAAATCGATGCTGTGAAAGACAAGTTTTGTGAGCCTTCAAAGCCAGCTGTCTGTCTGGCCACCGCTGGAAACATAATGCTGGACTAGTGAGTCCTTGATCAGATCTAGCCACATGAGCACATTCTTATGCAAATAGATTCAGCAATACAGTTATATTGCTTCAATGGGCAGTTGCTAAGGTCAGCAATCTGCCAAACACTGTGTGACTGCATGGAGAGGTAGGGGAGACTTAAACTAAACTTTTGTTGTTCTGTCTTCTTTCAAAGTTTAACAGGCTCAACGTTTTGTAAAAGAGAGGAAGATTTTAAGGAAGCATGAATAGGGCCCAGGTCTAGACCAAACTCTTTGTGAAATATCAGTGGTGACAAAGGTAATGGGCATATAAACCAAGCCTCTCTTTTGGTTCATCTCTAGCTAGTTTTCCACAGAGGCTAGACAGATGGGTCACATCAGTATGATGATGATTTACATATGACTGACAATACATAAGGCCAAGAAGAATTTACTTTCTAGGTTCAGTTAGTTATGCTTACTGCTTTCCTACTAATCTGTTTTTTCAAGGAAACAACAGCTTCTGTGCACCATGGCCCCTAACTATTCTCACCAGTCCCCTACAGAACAAACATGGTCAGTAACAGACCCTTCATAAAACTTTATTTTTTGGATATACAGGACTAGAACCTTTATTCACAGAGGCAGCAGATCTGTCATACTACTACCAATGCCACAGTGTCCTCCAGCACTTGAGCATCCAATGGCCAATAAGCATCAACATCCTGAGTTACATGGCAATCCATCTGAGTGTGTGTGTGGGGAGGGGAGTTTCCGTGCAGCCTGCATAGCTGGATGTATGCAGCCTCATCTATGGCAGGGCTCAGATCCTACATCATTTCCCAAAGTATTTATTTGTTCATGCAATGCCACACACCCCTTATTTAAGCTGCCTTGGTTTATCTAGTTTAGATCAGCACTGCCATCTCTGACTGACAGCATCCCTGTATAGCCGGGTAGAGGTCTTTCAGGTCACCTGCCACCAGAGTCTTGCAAAATGAGTTGCCAAGCAGAGGCTCTACCATTAAGAAGCAGAGATGGATTTAGACTGCACCCTTCACTCAGTCTCAAAGTGGCTTAGTCTCCTTTCCCTTCCTCTCCCCACAAGAGACGCCCTGTGAGGTAGGTGGGGCTCTTTCCAGAACTGCTCTTGTGAGAACAGCTCTGACAGGACTTGAGGTTGACCCAATGACACACCCGCAGCTACATGTGGAAAAGTGGGGAAACAAACCCCGGTTCTCCCAGATTAGCGAGTCTGTGCTCCTAAGCACTACACCAAACCGGCTCCGAGCCACAACCCCACCCCCAGAAAATGAAATAGAAAAAAGATGGCTTCTTCTCAGATTCATAGTTCCCCGATATGCACACGTGTGTTGATGAACTCCGTTTGCAGACACGTGTCTGTCGGCCACATCTGACACGTTCAGGCCGACGCTTGAGGCAACAGAAGGCCAGGCATCTCCGAGTCGCAGTGACTCTGCCCAGAAGGTCCGCATCGGCGAGCTACCGTGAAGAAACTCTAAACCCCTTCCGAAGGCAAAGAATCGCCACCGTTCTCTTTCTCTCCCCCGCAAGTAGTGCGATTCTGACATTACTTTTCTAGTCCCGTAAAGTTACTTCTCCTTTTCCTCCAGCGCTCCTTTGGCCACTCAGTAGGTTAGGAGGGTAGCGCCTCTCCACGGCGAGGCAACAGGGAAGGTCCGCGCCTGACACCGAGAGGGACGAATCCTCCGCCGAGCCTCCCGATCGCACACCGGCCACCCGTCCTCACAAAACTGAACAGACGCTTCGCTTCAAACGTCACAGCGGAAGAGGCGGGGCCCGGGAGTGAGACTTCCGGGGAGGGAAAAGGAAGAGACTGTAGGCATGCGCGCATGAGATACTGGCAGTTCTGCGTTCCCCCGTGCTGGCAGAGGGGGGAAGGAGTGGGGTGGGACCGCACAGGGCAGTGCGGTCATCATGCCCTGCCAGTCTGAAAACAGATTGTTTTGTCAGGTCCTTTCTGCCTCACCGGGTTGCCAGCTCCACTTTGGGAATCTCCTGGAGATTTGGGAGGTGGAGCCTGGGGAGGACGGGACCTTGGTGTGGTACAATGCCATACTGTCCACCCTCCAAAGCATCCATTTTCTCCAGGAGGACTGATCTCTGTAGTCTGGAGATAAGCTGTGATTCCAGGGGACCCCCTGGTCCCACCTGGAGGCTGGCATCCAGACCAGTTCTCCAATCTAGAGGACGACTTTTGACTGCTTTTCAGGCGTGTTGGATGAGACACTTTCACTGCACCTTAGCACAATGGTGTGCAACTGGGTTTTCCTGTGCCAAATGGGAAAATCCACTTGCTAACAATCACTAATGCAGATTGGAAGTGAACGCCTTGAATGGGGATTCCACGAGGTCTTCATGTTTATAAATCTGACATCATAGATAAATGGAGATGAAATAGATAGATGCGAGCATAGTATAAAGAAATATGAAGACTTCTTGTGTCATGATCTCTTACCCAAATAAATGGACAGTCTGCTCCAGTAGCAGCTTCCCATAGACCCAAGCGTATTACATCCCAGCAGCAGGACCTTCAGGCTGGGTTCCATGGGGCCCTTCGTCTGTCCTTACTGTTACTTATTTTACACTTTAATCCCACCCATACTCAAAAGAGGAGCTCAGGGAATCTTCCCTCCAGTTTTACCCTCACAACAACCCTGTGAGATAGGCTAGGCTGAGACAGAGGGATTGGATGGTGAGGATCATGATCGAATGGGGATCTGAACCCACAATAGGGCTCCCTGATTCTACTCCAGCAGCACTCTAATGACTATTTGTTGATTCAGCCGCTGTGTTGGTCTGAAGCAGCAGAACAAAGTTTGAGTCCAGTGGAACCTTTAAGACCAACCGCTTTTTATTCATGGGATAAGCTTTCATGTGCATGCACACTTCTGATATAAAGGAAAAGTCGGCTTAAGAAATGCATCTCTGTATCTGAAGAAGCTTATACCTTGAATAAAACTTTGTTGCCATTGGACTCAAACTCTTTGTCAAGTACATCTTCATCCTACCTCTTCTCCAAAGACTTTAGGACTGCGCCCATCCTCCTACCCTCAAATTTGTCCTCACAACCACCCTGTGAGGCAGATAAGGATGACAGAGTAACTACCTCGACCACCTTTGAAGGCAAATTTGAATCCATGTCTCCCAGGTACGCTCTACACCCCACACTGACACTTTTGTTGAAAAGGGGATGTACTAAGAGGAAGGACAGGATTGCCCATTGGAAACAATGGGAGAGACTTGAAGGCCCATAGGAAATAATGGGAGCCAGGAAAGCCAATTGACTTGCATGGGCTCCATTGAAATACATTACAGCTCAAGAAGAGTTGCAAGGAAAATGCGGAATGGATTTTCCATTAAGGTCTCTGGTCCCAAATACACTGTTCTGCGACTGGAATGACAGGTCAAGCTAACAGCTATATTATATAAAAATACAAATGTTTATTAAGGTGTAAACATAGTTAAAACATACTGTGGTTAAAAAAATAGTCTAAGTCTCAGACCTAAAAGGCTTATACAACCAAGTTAGTTATTATACAAATACAATTGATGGGTAAAACTTTCTGACCTAAGGACCATATGAGTTTCGGCCCCTTTGGGCCTTCCTCAGCGGTCAATATTTTTTATATTGCAATGACACACATCTAGAAATACACACATAATTTTTTATGTGTGTGTGTGTGTGTGTGTGTATATATGAATGACCATATATATGAATGACCAGATGTTGTTTTCTTATGTGCTTTTGCAATTGCTACAAGTTTGTGTAATAGGCCATAGATAGTAGCCGTATCAATTCTTCAAATTATTCTGGTGCCAAAGATTCCATTTGTCAGGATGTGTGTCCCTTCCATCAAAAGTAGTGGGGTAGCAGGCGTGTTCTAGGACTGGAATGACACCACCAGAGCTCCAGTCAGACCAGTATACCGCGTTCTGAGAAACTATTGAGACACTATTAGCACTGCATATATATTTGTTTCTTTTGTCATTTTCCAAGTTTTTGCTGTTACGCTTTTGAATGCTATTGTTATCATCTTCCTTAGTGGGTGTGCAAAGTGCTGTTCTGAATAATGCTTTTTATAGGGTAGGATAGAGGGCACTGGGGATGTGTTTATGAAACCAAAGGGGGCATAGCCCAAAAAAGTTTGGGAACCAGTGTTGTATCCAGTATAACCCTAGGCTCTTAACCAAATCACCAAGGGTCAACTGAACCCCATCGAAAGCAAGTACAATGTCCTTCAAGATCTTTGCCTTCCCAACCAGCATCTCTTCTGTTTCCTTTGGGTACAATTTCCATTTGTTCACTTTCAGCCATTTCACCACAGCAGTTAGGCAGTGGCTCAAGACCTCTACTGCATCACCAGGGGATTCAAATAGAGCTGAATTTTATCTGCATACTGATGTCAACCAGTTCCAGAGTTATGAATGATTTCTCCTAAAGGCTTTACATAGAAGTTGAATAACATGAAGGATAAGATTGCACCCTGGGGAATCACACAAGACAGCTCCTGCACTGAAGGCAGCTGTTCTTCAACAGCACCCCTTTGAGGCCAGTCCATGAGGAATTATTTCAACCAGTCCAAGGCACATACAAAGATACCTATTTCTGCTTCCAGTGTCTCAACAGGATAGCATGATCTCCTGTATCAGAGGAGGCTGCAGATGGATGCAGCAGAAGGAGCATTCCAGCAGAGGTCATCAACTGACGGCCATCTCTGCCCCACAGCCTGGCCTGAAACCAGACTGAATGGGTCCAGATCACATAGAATCATAGAGTTGGAAGGGACCTCCAGGGTCATCTAGTCCAACCCCCTACACAATGCAGGAAATCCGCAAATACCTCCCCTTCACACACCCAGTGACCACTGTTCCATGCCCAGAAGATGACAGAAAACCTCCAGGATCTCCAGGCCAGTTTGCTTCCTGACCCCAAAGTGGTGATCAGCATTTTTCTGGGTGTGTAAGAAAGGGCCACGGGAACTAAGCACTGATGCAACCTTTCCTGCCCTCCCTCTCATGATCTGCCTAAGTTCACAGAATCATGAGTTACACAAGAAGACCTGGACCTGATCCATTACTGTTCTCGATCACTTTCCCCAGGAATGGCAAATTAGAGACTGGGTGGTATTTGGCCACATCATTTTTTCTGTAGGGATGAGATGGGCTTTTTAAAATAGTGGATGGATAACCACCTCTTTGAGTGGCTGAGGGAAGGTGCTATGAGTTAGTGACTGATTTATGATGTACATCAAGGGCTCATCAATGTGGTCCTTACATGATATTAACAGCCAGGATGGGCAAGGATTCAGGGCACAAATAGTGGCCTTCACAGATCCCAGGCTCCTGTCAACATCCATCAGTGTAACTGGCACAAAATGGTCTATAAGCAGTTCAGGTGAAGTATTAGGTATATCTTTTAAAATTAATGTATACCCTGCCTTTCTTCCCAATGGGGATCCTAAGCAGCTTACTTCCTTCTCTCCTCTATTTTATCCTTACAACAACCCTGTGAGGTAGGTTTGCTTTTGTATTAACATTAACTAAGACTGCCAGAAATAAAAAGAAAAGGGGTAAAAACAGATATTGATAATGATATTTAAAGAGACATGTGCTGTCTCCAAGCTGGCTGGGGTGAGAGGCTTTGAGAACGCATTTAAAGTTGCTTTCTTTCTCTGCTCCCCACCACCTCAAGCCTACCCAGGGCGGGAGGGAGGGAGGGAGGGAGGGAGGGAGAAAAAGTATGCCTCCCCTTCGCTTCCCCAGCTGTCCTGCTGGGAGCCACACAATATGTGTAAAAGAGCCACATGTGGCTCCCGAGCCACAGTTTGGCCACCCCTGTTCTAGACTCTGCCTTAAATTTCAGTATGAAAGAAAAATGGTGTAAATGGGGAAAATCAATTCTTGTATAAGAGTCCTGCAAGATCAGTTTTCTTCCTGTTTCATTTATTCAAATTGTATGATTCCTTTCCCCCCTCAGATTGTATTTAAATGTCCTCTAAGTTGGCCTGGCTGCAGCATGCAAGAGACTTGGGATGGACACAAAATTGCCAATACTGGAAAATTCCAATATGCAATGTCCTGAGTAGGCCTTTCTTCAGAAAAATATTGACAATAAAGTATTAGAAGGTACTGGCAGATAACTGTTCAGTGCAACATATTTGGGACCAGTATAATTTTTAAACTGGCAATTATTTTTCCGAACTGCGCATGCTTGAGCAGCGTCTCTTTTTTGATGCGGCTCTCTTTAGCCACGCTTTGCCGGGTGTTTTCCCTGCCGTGTGGCAGGGGCCAAAATATTAGAAGGTTCAGTGCAACATATTTGGGACCAGTATAATTTTTAAACTGGCAATTGTTTTTCTAAAAGCTATGTGAATTCCTGCTCCATTAAAAGTAATGAGAATGTTGCCATTGATTTTAATGAGGAACTGTGTTGATGCTTTACCATTTTGGAAATAACCTCAAGCAAAAATTTCTGGGTTGATTCTTTAAAATTTGCTGCACAAATGTTTATGCATTTTTGTCAGAACCCACAGCCAACAACGAAGTACACGCATTCAGGAATGGTAATACTTTTATTGCAGAGCTATAGATGCAGTAACATAAGCACTGTTAAGAATGGCGGCAGCCCCTTGGGCATAATAGGATATAGGGTATTCGTATGCACCCCCCCAGAGCACTGG